CAGGGATGCTGCCATCTATGAGGCTATGGGGCAGGGATGATCCCATCTATGGGGCAGGGATGCTCCCATCTATGGGGGCTATGGGGCAGGGATGCTCCCATTTATGGGGTCTATGGGGCAGGGATGCTCCCATCTATGGGGCTATGGGGCAGGGATGCTCCAATCTATGGGGCAGGGATGTTGCCATCTATGGGGCAGGGATGCTCCCATCTATGGGGCTATGGGGCAGGGATGCTCCCATCTATGGGGGGCGATGGGGCAGGGGTGCTCTCATCTATGGGGCTATGGGGCAGGGATGCTCCCATCTATGGGGCTATGGGGCAGGGATGCTCCCATCTATGGGGCTATGGGGCAGGGATGCTCCCATCTATGGGGCTATGGGGCAGGGATGCTCCCATCTATGGGGCTATGGGGCAGGGATGCTCCCATCTATGGGGCTATGGGGCAGGGATGCTGCCATCTATGGGGCTATGGGGCAGGGATGCTCCCATCTATGGGGCTATGGGGCAGGGATGCTCCCATCTATGGGGCTATGGGGCAGGGATGCTCCCATCTATGGGGCTATGGGGAATTGGGGAATAAAGGATGGGAATGAAGAGGGAATAAAGGGAATAGGGAATAGAGAGGGAATAACACTGGGAATAACAGGGAATAACAGGGAATGGAGTGGGAATCCATAGGGAATGATAGAGGGAATGAAGGGGAATAAAGGGAATAGGGAATAACAGTGGGAATAAACAGGGAATAACACAGGGAATGGAGAGGGAATAACAGGGAATGGAAAGGGAATAACAGGGAATGATTGAGGGGGAATAACAGGGAATAAAGAGGGAATAAATAGGGAATGATGGAGGGAATAACAGGGAATAGAGAGGGAATAAAGAGGGAATAACACAGGGAATGATAGAGGGGGAATAACAGGGAATCTAAAGGGAATAACGGAATGAAGAGGGAATAGACAGGGAATGGAGTGGGAATAAAGAGGGAATGGAGAGGGAATAACACAGGGAATAACAGGGAATAGAGGGGGAATAAACAGGGAATAACACAGGGAATGAGGAGGGAATAAACAGGGAATGATAGAGGGGGAATAACAGGGAATAAAGGGGGAATAACACAGGGAATGAGGAGGGAATAACAGGGAATAGAGAGGGAATAAAGAGGGAATAACACAGGGAATGAGGAGGGAATAGAGAGGGAATAACAGGGAATAAACAGGGAATAACAGGGAATGGAGAGGGAATAAATAGGGAATGAAGTGGGAATGGAGGGGGAATGAAGAGGGAATAACAGGGAATGATAGAGGGGGAATAACAGGGAATGAGGAGGGAATAACACAGGGAATAACAGAGGGAATAGAGGGGGAATAAACAGGGAATAAAGAGGGAATAACAGGGAATGGAGAGGGAATAAAGAGGGAATAACACAGGGAATGGAGAGGGAATAACAGGGAATAACATGGAATAGAGGGGGAATAAACAGGGAATGATAGTGGGAATAACAGGGAATGGAGTGGGAATAACACAGGGAATGGAGAGGGAATAGAGGGGGAATAAACAGGGAATAACAGGGAATGAAGGAGGAATAACAGGGAATAGAGAGGGAATAACACAGGGAATAACAGGGAATAGAGGGGGAATAAAGAGGGAATAACACAGGGAATGGAGAGGGAATAAAGAGGGAATGAGGAGGGAATAAAGAGGGAATAAAGGGGGAATAAAAGGGAATCGAGTGGGAATAACACAGGGAATGAAGAGGGAATAAACAGGGAATAAAGAGGGAATAAACAGGGAATGAACAGGGAATAACAGGGAATGGAGAGGGCACAGGGAAGCATTGGGATCCCTTCCCTCCTGCTTCCAGGTTTTCCCACTTTCCTGCAGCTGGATCCTTGCTCCATCCCTGAACATTCCCATCTGGAAACCATCACCCCCCCCTTTCCCTTTGTTCATCCCCATTCCCAAGGGAACGGGGCCATTCCCGGCCTTTGGAATGATGCCCTTGGATCCCGGTTTTCCAGGAGCGATTCCCATCTGGATGCCAAGAATTCCACACACAAGGATCCGGCCATGGCTGTCTATGGGGAGGGATCCAGGTCCTGCCCCATAGATGGGGGGCTGAGCCCCATAGGAGGGGGGAACATCCCTATCCCGGAATCCCTATGGGACCACCTGCATCCCTATGGCTCCATGGGTACCACCTGCATCCCTATCCCAGCATCCCTATGGCCCCATGGGTACCACCTACATCCCTATCCCAGCATCCCTATGGCTCCATGGGTACCACCTACATCCCTATCCCAGCATCCCTATGGCTCCATGGGTACCACCTGCATCCCCATCCCAGCATCCCTATGTCTCCATGGTTACCACCTCCATCCCTATGACCCTAAGGGTACCACCTGCATCCCTATGTCTCCATGGGTACCACCTCCATCCCTATGGATCCATGGGTACCACCTGCATCCCTATCCCAACATCCCTATGTCTCCATGGGTACCACCTGCATCCCTATCCCAGCATCCCTAGGTCTCCATGGGTACCACCTGCATCCCTATCCCAGCATCCCTAGGTCTCCATGGGTACCACCTGCATCCCTATCCCAGCATCCCTATGGCCCCATGGGTACCACCTGCATCCCCATCCCAGCATCCGTATGTCTCCATGGGTACCACCTCCATCCCTATGTCTCCATGGTTACCACCTCCATCCCCATAGCTCCATGGGTACCACCTGCATCCCTATGTTTCCATGGTTACCACCTCCATCCCTATGACCCTATGGGTACCACCTGCATCCCTATGTCTCCATGGTTACCACCTGCATCCCCATCCCAGCATCCCTATGGCCCCATGGTTACCACCTCCATCCCTATGACCCTATGGGTACCACCTGCATCCCTATGTCTCCATGGTTACCACCTGCATCCCCATCCCAGCATCCCTATGACCCCATGGGTACCACCTCCATCCCTATGTCTCCATGGGTACCACCTGCATCCCCATCCCAGCATCCCTATGTCTCCATGGGTACCACCTGCATCCCTATGTCTCCATGGGTACCACCTCCATCCCCATCCCAGCATCCCTATGGCCCCATGGGTACCACCTGCATCCCCATCCCAGCATCCCTATGGCTCCATGGGTACCACCTCCATCCCTATGTTTCCACAGGTACCACCTGCATCCCTATGTCTCCATGGTTACCACCTGCATCCCCATCCCAGCATCCCTATGTCTCCATGGTTACCACCTCCATCCCTATGACCCTATGGGTACCACCTGCATCCCTATGTCTCCATGGGTACCACCTGCATCCCTATGGCTCCATGGGTACCACCTCCATCCCTATGGCTCCATGGGTACCACCTGCATTCCCATCCCAGCATCCCTATGTCTCCATGGGTACCACCTGCATCCCTCTGGCTCCATGGGTACCACCTGCATCCCCATCCCAGCATCCCTACGTCTCCATGGCTACCACCGCCATCCCTATGTCTCCATGGTTACCACCTCCATCCCTATGACCCTATGGGTACCACCGCCATCCCTATGTCTCCATGGGTACCACCTGCATCCCCATCCCAGCATCCCTATGGCCCCATGGTTACCACCTCCATCCCTATGACCCTATGGGTACCACCTGCATCCCTGTGTCTCCATGGTTACCACCTGCATCCCCATCCCAGCATCCCTATGGCCCCATGGGTACCACCTACATCCCTATCCCAGCATCCCTATGGCTCCATGGGTACCACCTGCATCCCCATAGCTCCATGGGTTCCACCTGCATCCCTATGTCTCCATGGGTACCACCTGCATCCCCATCCCAGCATCCCTATGGCCCCATGGGTACCACCTCCATCCCTATGTCTCCATGGTTACCACCTGCATCCCTATGGCTCCATGGGTACCACCTCCATCCCCATAGCCCCATGGGTACCACCTGCATCCCCATCCCAGCATCCCTATGGCTCCATGGGTACCACCTCCATCCCCATAGCTCCATGGGTACCACCGGCATCCCCATCCCAGCATCCCTATGGCTCCATGGGTAGCACCTGCATCCCTATCCCAGCATCCCTATGGCCCCATGGGTACCACCTGCATCCCTATCCCAGCATCCCTATGTCTCCATGGTTACCACCCGCATCCCTATCCCAGCATCCCTATGTCTCCATGGGTACCACCTGCATCCCTATCCCAGCATCCCTATGTCTCCATGGTTACCACCTGCATCCCTATGTCTCCATGGGTACCACCTGCATCCCCATAGCCCCATGGGTACCACCTGCATCCCCATCCCAGCATCCCTATGTCTCCATGGTTACCACCTCCATCCCTATGTCTCCATGGGTACCACCTGCATCCCTATCCCAGCATCCCTATGTCTCCATGGTTACCACCTGCATCCCCATAGCTCCATGGGTACCACCTGCATCCCCATCCCAGCATCCCTATGGCTCCGTGGGTACCACCAGCATCCCTATGGCTCCATGGGTACCACCTGCATCCCTATGGATCCATGGGTACCACCTGCATCCCTATCCCAGCATCCCTATGGCCCCATGGGTACCACCAGCATCCCTATGGCTCCATGGGTACCACCTGCATCCCTATGTCTCCATGGGTACCACCTGCATCCCTATCCCAGCATCCCTATGGCTCCATGGTTACCACCTCCATCCCTATGTTTCCATGGGTACCACCTGCATTCCCATCCCAGCATCCCTATGGCCCCATGGGTACCAGCTCCATCCCTATGTCTCCATGGTTACCACCTCCATCTCCATAGCCCCATGGGTACCACCTGCATCCCCATCCCAGCATCCCTATGACCCTATGGGTACCACCTGCATCCCTATGGCCCCATGGGTACCACCTGCATCCCTATCCCAGCATCCCTATGGCCCCATGGGTACCACCTCCATCCCCCCTCCATCCCCCCCTTTCCCCCTTCCCATTGGCCCCCACCCCCCTTTATCCCCGCCCCCTTCCTTACCATCAACGCGTGCCGATTGGCCGCCAGAAGCCCCGCCCCGTAACCCGCAGCCAATCCCGGCAGGGCTCCGTTGCCAAGCAACGCGTGCACGTCTCCACCTCCAGCCGCTTGGGATGGGGAAGGATGGGGATGAGGATGCGGATGAGGATGCGGATGTGGGGCAGGGGTCACTTGTGGGGCTGACAACGATGGGGCCTGCCCCACGGCGTGGTTCCGGAGCACGTGGATGGCATCGTCCAAGCGTTCCAAGCGGTCTTCCAGGCGGCTTTGCTGCTTGGGAAGAGCATCGTTGCTATGGAAACGGGGAGGGAGGGATGGGGATGTGGTACCCAAGGGATGGATGGGGATGTGGTACCCAAGGGATGGATGGGGATGTGGTACCCAAGGGATGGATGGGGATGTGGTACCCAAGGGATGGATGGGATGTGGTACCCAAGGGATGGATGGGGATGTGGTACCCAAGGGATGGATGGGGATGTGGTACCCAAGGGATGGATGGGGATGTGGTACCCAAGGGATGGATGGGGATGTGGTACCCAAGGGATGGATGGGGATGTGGTACCCAAGGGATGGATGGGGATGTGGTACCCAAGGGATGGATGGGGATGTGGTACCCAAGGGATGGATAGGGATGTGGTACCCAAGGGATGGATGGGGATGTGGTACCCAAGGGATGGATGGGGATGTGGTACCCAAGGGATGGATGGGGATGTGGTACCCAAGGGATGGATGGGGATGTGGTACCCAAGGGATGGATGGGGATGTGGTACCCAAGGGATGGATGGGGATGTGGTATGTGGTACCCAAGGGATGGATGGGGATGTGGTACCCAAGGGATGGATGGGGATGTGGGGGATGGGGATGTGGTACCCAAGGGATGGATGGGGATGTGGTACCCAAGGGATGGATGGGGATGTGGTACCCAAGGGATGGATGGGGATGTGGTACCCAAGGGATGGATGGGGATGTGGTACCCAAGGGATGGGGGATGGGGATGTGGTACCCAAGGGATGGATGGGGATGTGGTACCCAAGGGATGGATGGGGATGTGGTACCCAAGGGATGGATGGGGATGTGGTACCCAAGGGATGGATGGGGATGTGGTACCCAAGGGATGGATGGGGATGTGGTACCCAAGGGATGGATGGGGATGTGGTACCCAAGGGATGGATGGGGATGTGGTACCCAAGGGATGGGGATGTGGTACCCAAGGGATGGATGGGGATGTGGTACCCAAGGGATGGATGGGGATGTGGTACCCAAGGGATGGATGGGGATGTGGTACCCAAGGGAGGGATGGGGATGTGGTACCCAAGGGATGGATGGGGATGTGGTACCCAAGGGATGGGGATGTGGTACCCAAGGGATGGATGGGGATGTGGTACCCAAGGGATGGATGGGGATGTGGTACCCAAAGGATGGATGGGGATGTGGTACCCAAGGGAGGGATGGGGATGTGGTACCCAAGGGATGGGGATGTGGTACCCAAGGGATGGATGGGGATGCGGTACCCAAGGGATGGATGGGGATGCGGTACCCAAGGGATGGATGGGGATGTGGTACCCAAGGGATGGATGGGGATGTGGTACCCAAGGGATGGATGGGGATGTGGTACCCAAGGGATGGATGGGGATGTGGTACCCAAGGGATGGATGGGGATGTGGTACCCAAGGGATGGATGGGGATGTGGTACCCAAGGGATGGATGGGGATGTGGTACCCAAGGGATGGGGATGTGGTACCCAAGGGATGGATGGGGATGTGGTACCCAAGGGATGGATGGGGATGTGGTACCCAAGGGATGGATGGGGATGTGGTACCCAAGGGATGGATGGGGATGTGGTACCCAAGGGATGGATGGGGATGTGGTACCCAAGGGATGGATGGGGATGTGGTACCCAAGGGATGGATGGGGATGTGGTACCCAAGGGATGGATGGGGATGTGGTACCCAAGGGATGGATGGGGATGTGGTACCCAAGGGATGGATGGGGATGTGGTACCCAAGGGAGGGATGGGGATGTGGTACCCAAGGGATGGGGATGGGGATGTGGTACCCAAGGGATGGGGATGTGGTACCCAAGGGATGGATGGGATGTGGTACCCAAGGGATGGGGATGGGGATGGGGATGGGGGGGGGGGTGTTGCTATGGCAACCCCTTTGGGCCCTTCCTTGGAATTCCAGAGGGGAAAGGGATGGTGTTTTTGTAATGGGGATGGGAGATAAAATCCCATTGGAATTCCATTGGGAAAGGGATGCCCCATGTCCCTTCCATCCCAATATGGGGATGGGAGAGAGAATCCCATTGGAATTCCATTGGGAAAGGGATGCCCCATGTCCCTTCCATCCCAATATGGGGATGGGAGAGAAAATCCCATTGGAATTCCATAGGGAAAGGGATGCCCCATCCCTTTTCCCTGCCAATAATGGGGATGGGAGAGAAAATCCCATTGGAATTCAATAGGGAATGGGATTCCCAAGGGGATGGGAGAGGGGAAGGATGAAGGCCATCATTCCATAAGGGAAGGGGGAAGATGGGGAATGAGGGGGGTTCAAGGGAAGCTCCAGGACTTCCCAGGAATCCTATGGGATCATCAGCATCTGCATCCAATGGGATCACCGCCATCTGCATCCAATGGGATCACCAGCTCCATCCTATGGGATCACCACCATCTCCATCCTATGGGATCACCACCATCTCCATCCTATGGGTACCACCACCATCTCCATCCTATGGGATCACCACCATCTCCATCCTATGGGGATCACCACCATCTCCATCCTATGGGATCACCACCATCTCCATCCTATGGGATCACCACCATCTCCATCCTATGGGATCACCACCATCTCCATCCTATGGGACCATCACCTTCATCCTATGGGATCACCACCATCATCTCCATCCTATGGGATCACCATCTCCATCCTATGGGATCACCACCATCTCCATCCTATGGGATCACCACCATCTCCATCCTATGGGATCACCATCTCCATCCTATGGGTACCACCATCTCCATCCTATGGGATCACCACCATCTCCATCCAATGGGATCACCACCATCTCCATCCTATGGGATCACCACCATCTCCATCCTATGGGTACCACAACCATCTCCATCCTATGGGATCACCACCATCTCCATCCTATGGGTACCACCATCTCCATCCTATGGGATCACCACCATCTCCATCCTATGGGTACCACCACCATCTCCATCCTATGGGTACCACAACCATCTCCATCCTATGGGATCACCACCATCTCCATCCTATGGGTACCACCATCTCCATCCTATGGGTACCACCATCATCTCCATCCAATGGGATCACCATCTCCATCCTATGGGGACCACCATCTTCATCCTATGGGATCACCACCATCTCCATCCTATGGGGACCACCATCTCCATCCTATGGGATCACCACCATCACCATCCTATGGGTACCACCACCATCTCCATCCTATGGGTACCACAACCATCTCCATCCTATGGGATCACCACCATCTCCATCCTATGGGATCACCACTATCTCCATCCTATGGGGACCACCACCATCTCCATCCTATGGGATCACCACCATCTCCATCCTATGGGGACCACCATCTTCATCCAATGGGATCACCACCATCTCCATCCTATGGGGACCACCACCATCTCCATCCCATGGGATCACCACCATCTCCATCCTATGGGGACCACCACCATCTCCATCCTATGGGACCACCACCATCTCCATCCTATGGGATCACCACCATCTCCATCCTATGGGATCACCATCTCCATCCTATGGGATCACCATCCCCATCCCATGGGATCACCACCATCTCCATCCTATGGGTACCACCACCATCTCCATCCTATGGGTACCACCATCTCCATCCTATGGGATCACCACCATCTCCATCCTATGGGGACCACCATCTCCATCCTATGGGATCACCATCTCCATCCTATGGGGCCACCACCATCTCCATCCTATGGGATCACCACCATCTCCACCCTATGGGATCACCACCATCTCCATCCTATGGGATCACCATCTCCATCCTATGGGATCACCACCATCTCCACCCTATGGGATCACCACCATCTCCATCCTATGGGTACCACCATCTCCATCCTATGGGATCACCATCATCTCCATCCTATGGGATCACCACCATCTCCATCCTATGGGATCACCATCTCCATCCTATGGGTACCACCACCATCTCCATCCTATGGGATCACCACCATCTCCATCCTATGGGATCACCACCATCTCCATCCTATGGGATCACCATCATCTCCATCCTATGGGATCACCACCATCTCCATCCTATGGGATCACCATCTCCATCCTATGGGGACCACCACCATCTCCATCCTATGGGATCACCACCATCTCCATCCTATGGGATCACCACCATCTCCATCCTATGGGATCACCACCATCTCCATCCTATGGGGACCACCACCATCTCCATCCTATGGGATCACCATCTCCATCCTATGGGATCACCACCAGCTCCATCCTATGGGATCACCATCTCCATCCTATGGGATCACCATCTCCATCCTATGGGATCACCACCATCTCCATCCTATGGGACCACCATCTCCATCCAATGGGATCACCACCACCATCTCCATCCTATGGGATCACCATCTCCATCCTATGGGATCACCACCATCTCCATCCTATGGGGACCACCACCATCTCCACCCTATGGGATCACCATCTCCATCCTATGGGATCACCACCATCTCCATCCTATGGGGACCACCACCATCTCCACCCTATGGGATCACCATCTCCATCCTATGGGATCACCACCATCTCCATCCTATGGGGACCACCACCCTCTCCATCCTATGGGATCACCATCTCCATCCTATGGGATCACCATCTCCATCCTATGGGTACCACCATCATCTCCATCCAATGGGACCACCACCATCTCCATCCTATGGGTACCACCATCATCTCCATCCAATGGGATCACCATCTCCATCCAATGGGATCACCATCTCCATCCTATGGGTACCACCATCATCTCCATCCAATGGGATCACCATCTCCATCCTATGGGACCACCATCTCCATCCTATGGGTACCACCACCATCTCCATCCTATGGGACCACCACCATCTCCATCCTATGGGTACCACCATCTCCATCCTATGGGTACCACCACCATCTCCATCCTATGGGATCACCATCTCCATCCTATGGGATCATCACCATCCCCATCCTATGGGTACCACCATCATCTCCATCCTATGGGTACCACCATCATCTCCATCCTATGGGGACCACCATCTCCATCCTATGGGTACCACCATCATCTCCATCCAATGGGATCACCATCTCCATCCTATGGGACCACCATCTCCATCCCATGGGATCACCACCATCATCTCCATCCCATAGGATAACCACCACCACCTTCTTCTCCATCCCATGGGTACCACCACCATCTCCTCCATCCTTTGACCACCACCTCCTCCTCCTCCTCCTTCGCTCTCTTATCCTATAGGATCCAAACTCCATCTCCTGGGAAAAAGGGGGGTTGGGAATTGGGAAGAGGGACAGAAACATGGATTAGACATGGAAAAGGTTGGGAATATGGGATGGTTCCCCATGGATCACCTACCAAGGAATGTAAGGGCCCGTCATAAGTGGGAGATGCTGAAGCTTGGCCTCCATTCCTAGACCATACAGCTGGGCCTGCTGGTAGCAAAAAGGGGAAGCACCATTAGAAACCTCGGCATTCCCAAGGGATTTGGGAGTGGGAAGTTGGGGAAGGAAAAGTTGGGAATGGTTGGGAAAAGATGGATCAAGGAAGGAAGGGAAAAGGGGGGGTTTTCCTCCTCTTCCATTGGCTTCCAAGGGAGAAGGGAGGCATTGGAAAGGGGAATGATCCCGTTTTCCAGGGGTTTTCCAAAGGCAATTCCCAACTTATGGATCTTTGGGGCTTGGCTTTTCCTGATGGGAGGGATTGGAAGTGGGAATGCCGCATCCTTGGATGCGCTCAACATCCCGATGGATGGAGAACGTGGTCCTCACCTAGACCTAGTTCTTAAGGTCTTTTCCATCCCAATCTCATCCTAAAGGATCCTTTGGAAGTGAATGGGATTGGGAATGCTCCATCCTTGGAATTCCATCGGGATTGGGAATGCTCCATCCTTGGAATTGCATTGGGATTGGGAATGCCGCATCCTTGGATGCGCTCAACATCCCGATGGATGGAGAACGTGGTCCTCACCTAGACCTAGTTCTTAAGGTCTTTTCCATCCCAATCCCATCCTAAAGGATCCTTGGAAGTGCTTTGGGATTGGGAATGCTCCATCCTTGGAATTGCATTGGGATTGGGAATGCTCCATCCTTGGAATCGCATTGGGATTGGGAATGCCGCATCCTTGGATGCGCTCAACATCCCGATGGATGGAGAACGTGGTCCTCACCTAGACCTAGTTCTTAAGGTCTTTTCCATCCCAATCCCATCCTAAAGGATCCTTAGAATTGCATTGGGATTGGGAATGCTCCATCCTTGGAATTGCATTGGGATTGGGAATGCTCCATCCTTGGAATTGCATCGGGATTGGGAATGCCGCATCCTTGGATGCGCTCAACATCCCGATGGATGCAGCAACGTGGTCCTCACCTAGACCTAGTTCTTAGGGTCTTTTCCATCCCAATCCCATCCTAAAGGATCCTTTGGAAGTGAATGGGATTGGGAATGCTCCATCCTTGGAATTGCATCGGGATTGGGAATGCTCCATCCTTGGAATTGCATTGGGATTGGGAATGCCGCATCCTTGGATGCGCTCAACATCCCGATGGATGCAGAACGTGGTCCTCACCTAGACCTAGTTCTTAAGGTCTTTTCCATCCCAATCCCATCCTAAAGGATCCTTTGGAAGTGAATGGGATTGGGAATGCTCCATCCTTGGAATTCCATCGGGATTGGGAATGCTCCATCCTTGGAATTGCATCGGGATTGGGAATGCCGCATCCTTGGATGCGCTCAACATCCCGATGGATGGAGAACGTGGTCCTCACCAAGACCTAGTTCTTAAGGTCTTTTCCATCCCAAACCCATCCTAAAGGATCCTTTGGAAGTGAATGGGATTGGGAATGCTCCATCCTTGGAATTGCATCGGGATTGGGAATGCTCCATCCTTGGAATTCCATCGGGATTGGGAATGCCGCATCCTTGGATGCGCTCAACATCCCGATGGATGGAGAACGTGGTCCTTACCTAGACCTAGTTCTTAAGGTCCTTTCCATCCCAAAACCATCCTATAGGATTGTTGGAAGTGAATAGGATTGGGAATGCTCCATCCTTGGAATTGCATCGGGATTGGGAATGCTCCATCCTTGGATGCGCTCAACATCCCGATGGATGGAGAACGTGGTCCTCACCTAGACCTAGTTCTTAAGGTCTTTTCCATCCCAATCCCATCCTAAAGGATCCTTGGAATTGCATTGGGATTGGGAATGCTCCATCCTTGGAATTCCATCGGGATTGGGAATGCTCCATCCTTGGAATTGCATTGGGATTGGGAATGCCGCATCCTTGGATGCGCTCAACATCCCAAAGGATGGAGAACGTGGTCCTCATCTAGACCTAGTTCTGAAGGTCTTTTCCATCCCAATCCCATCCTAAAGGATCCTTTGGAAGTGAATGGGATTGGGAATGCTCCATCCTTGGAATTGCATTGGGATTGGGAATGCTCCATCCTTGGAATTGCATTGGGATTGGGAATGCCGCATCCTTGGATGCGCTCAACATCCCAAAGGATGGAGAACGTGGTCCTCACCTAGACCTAGTGCTTAGGGTCTTTTCCATCCCAATCCCATCCTAAAGGATCCTTGGAAGTGCATTGGGATTGGGAATGCTCCATCCTTGGAATTGCATTGGGATTGGGAATGCTCCATCCTTGGATGCGCTCAACATCCCGATGGATGGAGAACGTGGTCCTCATCTAGACCTAGTTCTTAGGGTCTTTCCCATCCCAATCCCATCCTAAAGGATCCTTTGGAAGTGAATGGGATTGGGAATGCTCCATCCTTGGAATTGCATTGGGATTGGGAATGCTCCATCCTTGGAATTGCATCGGGATTGGGAATGCTGCATCCTTGGATGCGCTCAACATCCCGATGGATGGAGAACGTGGTCCTCACCTAGACCTAGTTCTTAAGGTCTTTTCCATCCCAATCCCATCCTAAAGGATCCTTTGGAAGTGCTTTGGGATTGGGAATGCTCCATCCTTGGAATTGCATTGGGATTGGGAATGCTCCATCCTTGGAATTGCATTGGGATTGGGAATGCCGCATCCTTGGATGCGCTCAACATCCCGATGGATGGAGAACGTGGTCCTCACCTAGACCTAGTTCTTAAGGTCTTTTCCATCCCAATCCCATCCTAAAGGATCCTTGGAAGTGCTTTGGGATTGGGAATGCTGCATCCTTGGAATTCCATCGGGATTGGGAATGCCCCATCCTTGAAGCCCCCTTCCACCCTCCCCATCGCTCTAAAGAAGAAACCTTGCGATGAAACCCATTGAGACGAAGGGGAAAATTCCCAACCTTTTCCCAGTCTTTTTTCCATCCCAATTCCAACCCCATCCCCCTTTTTTTTCTTGGGATACAGGGAAAAAGGAGAGGGGGGGACACACAAAAGAAGGAGGCAACAGTTACCTGCTAAAGAAGGGGGAGAGCCAACAGGAGTTGAAGGAGTGGATGGGAAGCTGGTGGTGGTGGGCTCTGGAGAGTAGATCTTTAAGAGATGATAGAGGGTTAATCCCTAAGGAATGATGGTCCCAAAGGGATCCAGCGCCATAGAAAGGCTCAAATCCCATTGGATCCCTATGGAATGATGGCCCCAAAGCTGCTCCATCCCCTTAAAAAGGCTCAAATCCCATTGGATCCCTAAGGAATGATGGTCCCAAAGGGCTCCATCACCATAGAAAGGCTCAAATCCCATTGGATCCCTAAGGAATGATGGTCCCAAAGGGATCCAGCGCCATAGAAAGGCTCAAATCCCATTGGATCCCTAAGGAATGATGGCCCCAAAGGGCTCCATCACCATAGAAAAGCCCAAATCCCATTGGATCCCTAAGGAATGATGGCCCCAAAGGGCTCCATCACCATAGAAAGGCTCAAATCCCATTGGATCCCTAAGGAATGATGGCCCCAAAGCTGCTCCATCACCATAGAAAGGCTCAAATCCCATTGGATCCCTAAGGAATGATGGCCCCAAAGGGCTCCATCACCATAGAAAGGCCCAAATCCCATTGGATCCCTAAGGAATGATGGCCCCAAAGGGCTCCATCGCCATAGAAAGGCCCAAATCTCATTGGATCCCTAAGGAATGATGGCCCCAAAGGGCTCCATCACCATAGAAAGGCTCAAATCCCATTGGATCCCTAAGGAATGATGGCCCCAAAGGGCTCCATCACCATAGAAAGGCTCAAATCCCATTGGATCCTTATGGAATGATGGCCCCAAAGGGCTCTACAACCATAGAAAGGCCCAAATCCCATTGGATCCCTAAGGAATGATGGCCCCAAAGGGCTCCATCACCATAGAAAGGCCCAAATCCCATTGGATCCCTAAGGAATGATGGCCCCAAACTGCTCCATCACCATAGAAAGGCTCAAATCCCATTGGATCCCTAAGGAATGATGGCCCCAAACTACTCCATCACCATAGAAAAGCTCAAATCCCATTGGATCCCTAAGGAATGATGGCCCCAAAGGGCTCCATCACCATAGAAAGGCCCAAATCCCATTGGATCCCTAAGGAATGATGGCCCCAAAGGGCTCCATCACCATAGAAAAGCACAAATCCCATTGGATCCCTAAGGAATGATGGCCCCAAAGGGCTCCATCCCCATAGAAAAGCCCAAATCCCATTGGATCCCATTGGTGGCCCGCATCCCACCCCGCTGGGCACACTGCATTCCAAAGGTTGGGAATGGGCTCCTTACGGATGCGAGGGCTTTGCCCAGGGCATCGCCGGTCTGGGAGCTTCCTCCTGCCCCACTTCCTCTGTTGCCTGCAAAAAGGAAAGGATGGGGGTCAGAAAAGAAGGGAAAAGCAGGAAAAATCCCATAGGGAATTCCCAATCCCATTGTTCTTCCCCCCCCCCCCTTCCAAATCCAGGTTTCCAATGGTAATTCCCATTGCTCCCCATCCCGGTGGCCCCATTCTGCCTTCATCCCTTGGGTACCAGCATCCATAGGGACCCACATTCCCAATGGATCCATCCCATTCTGCCTTCATCCTTGGGTACCAGCATCCATAGGGCTCCACATTCCCAATGGATCCATCCCATTCTGCCTTCATCCCTGGGTACCACCACCCATAGGTCCCCATGATCCCAATGGATCCATCCCATTCTGCCTTCATCCTTGGGTACCAGCATCCATAGGGCTCCACATTCCCAATGGATCCATCCCATTCTGCCTTCATCCCTTGGGTACCACCACCCATAGGTCCCCATGATCCCAATGGATCCATCCCTATGGATGGATGCTTCCCATCACCTCCTGCCCCACATTGCCTTCATCCCTTGGGTACCATCATCCATAGCGCCCCACGTTCCCAATGGATCCATCCCATTCTGCCTTCATCCCTTGGGTACCAGCATCCATAGGGCCCCACATTCCCAATGGATCCATCCCATTCTGCCTTCATCCCTTGGGTACCACCACCCATAGGTCCCCATGATCCCAATGGATCCATCCCATTCTGCCTTCATCCCTTGGGTACCAGCATCCATAGGGCCCCACATTCCCAATGGATCCATCCCATTCTGCCTTCATCCCTTGGGTACCAGCATCCATAGGGCCCCACGTTCCCAATGGATCCATCCCATTCTGCCTTCATCCCTTGGGTACCACCACCCATAGGTCCCCATGATCCCAATGGATCCATCCCATTCTGCCTTCATCCCTTGGGTACCACCACCCATAGGTCCCCATGATCCCAATGGATCCATCCCATTCTGCCTTCATCCCTTGGGTACCACCACCCATAGGTCCCCATGATCCCAATGGATCCATCCCATTCTGCCTTCATCCCTTGGGTACCAGCACCCATAGGTCCCCATGATCCCAATGGATCCATCCCATTCTGCCTTCATCCCTTGGGTACCAGCATCCATAGGTCCCCATGATCCCAAAGGATCCATCCCATTCTGCCTTCATCCTTGGGTACCAGCATCCATAGGGCTCCACATTCCCAATGGATCCATCCCATTCTGCCTTCATCCCTTGGGTACCAGCATCCATAGGGACCCACATTCCCAATGGATCCATCCCATTCTGCCTTCATCCCTTGGGTACCAGCATCCATAGGGCCCCACATTCCCAATGGATCCATCCCATTCTGCCTTCATCCCTTGGGTACCAGCATCCATCGGGACCCACATTCCCAATGGATCCATCCCATTCTGCCTTCATCCCTTGGGTACCAGCACCCATAGGTCCCCATGATCCCAATGGATCCATCCCATTCTGCCTTCATCCCTTGGGTACCAGCATCCATAGGGACCCACGTTCCCAATGGATCCATCCCATTCTGCCTTCATCCTTGGGTACCAGCATCCATAGGGCCCCACGTTCCCAATGGATCCATCCCATTCTGCCTTCATCCCTTGGGTACCAGCATCCATAGGGCCCACATTCCCAATGGATCCATCCCATTCTGCCTTCATCCCTTGGGTACCAGCATCCATAGGGCCCCACATTCCCAATGGATCCATCCCATTCTGCCTTCATCCCTTGGGTACCAGCATCCATAGGGCCCCACATTCCCAATGGATCCATCCCATTCTGCCTTCATCCCTTGGGTACCAGCATCCATAGGGACCCACATTCCCAATGGATCCATCCCATTCTGCCTTCATCCCTTGGGTACCAGCATCCATAGGGCCCCATGATCCCAATGGATCCATCCCATTCTGCCTTCATCCCTTGGGTACCAGCATCCATAGGGCCCCACGTTCCCAATGGATCCATCCCATTCTGCCTTCATCCCTTGGGTACCAGCATCCATAGGGACCCACATTCCCAATGGATCCATCCCATTCTGCCTTCATCCCTTGGGTACCAGCATCCATAGGGACCCACGTTCCCAATGGATCCATCCAATTCTGCCTTCATCCCTTGGGTACCAGCACCCATAGGTCCCCACATTCCCAATGGATCCATCCCATTCTGCCTTCATCCCTTGGGTACCAGCATCCATAGGGCCCACATTCCCAATGGATCCATCCCATTCTGCCTTCATCCCTTGGGTACCAGCATCCATAGGGCCCCACATTCCCAATGGATCCATCCCATTCTGCCTTCATCCCTTGGGTACCAGCATCCATAGGTCCCCATGATCCCAATGGATCCATCCCATTCTGCCTTCATCCCTTGGGTACCAGCATCCATAGGGCTCCACATTCCCAATGGATCCATCCCATTCTGCCTTCATCCTTGGGTACCATCACCCATAGGTCCCCATGATCCCAATGGATCCATCCCATTCTGCCTTCATCCCTTGGGTACCACCACCCATAGGTCCCCATGATCCCAATGGATCCATCCCTATGGATGGATGCTTCCCATCACCTCCTGCCCCACATTGCCTTCATCCCTTGGGTACCAGCATCCATAGGTCCCCATGATCCCAATGGATCCATCCCATTCTGCCTTCATCCCTTGGGTACCACCACCCATAGGTCCCCATGATCCCAATGGATCCATCCCATTCTGCCTTCATCCCTTGGGTACCAGCACCCATAGGTCCCCATGATCCCAATGGATCCATCCCATTCTGCCTTCATCCCTTGGGTACCACCACCCATAGGTCCCCACGATCCCAATGGATCCATCCCATTCTGCCTTCATCCTTGGGTACCAGCACCCATAGGGCCCCACATTCCCAATGGATCCATCCCATTCTGCCTTCATCCCTTGGGTACCACCACCCATAGGTCCCCATGATCCCAGTGGATCCATCCCCATGGATGGATGCTTCCCATCACCTCCTGCCCCACATCGCCTTCATCCCTTGGGTACCACCACCCATAGTTCCCCACGATCCCAATGGATCCATCCCCATGGATGGATGCTTCCCATCACCTCCAGCCCCACTTTGCCTTCATCCCTTGGGTACCACCACCCATAGGTCCCCATGATCCCAATGGATCCATCCCTATGGATGGATGTTTCCCACCACCTCCAGCCCCACATCCCGCCCCATAGCGCCCCATAGCGCCCCCCAAAGGACTCACCCATGATGGGCTCGGTGCCGTTGGCCGGAGGGGTGCAGGATGAGGGACCGTAGTGGGTGCTGGGACCGCGGTGGAAGGTGGACATGGGGGGCAGGTTGGAGTTGAGCTCCCCCGAGGAGGGATGGGATGGAAAGCTCTGGAAGGGGAGAAGAAGATGATGGAGCATCACTTTGGTCCATGGCTCCGTGATGGAGCATCATGGAGATCCATAAGGATGATGGAGCATCACTTTGGTCCATGGCTTCATGATGGACCATGAAAGAGGTCCATAAGGATGATGGAGCATCACTTTGGGCCATGGCTTCGTGATGGTCCATCATGGAGGTCCATAAGGATGATGGAGCATCACTTTGGGCCATGGCTTCGTGATGGAGCACCATGGAGGTCCATAAGGATGATGGAGCATCACTTTGGGCCATGGCTTCGTGATGGTCCATCATGGAGGTCCATAAGGATGATGGAGCATCACTTTGGTCCATGGCTCCGTGATGGACCATGAAAGAGGTCCATAAGGATGATGGAGCATCACTTTGGGCCATGGCTTCGTGATGGAGCATCATGGAGATCCATAAGGATGATGGAGCATCACTTTGGGCCATGGCTTCATGATGGAACATCATGGAGGTCCATAAGGATGATGGAGCATCACTTTGGTCCATGGCTCCGGGATGGAGCATCATGGAGGTCCATAAGGATGATGGAGCATCACTTTGGGCCATGGCTTCATGATGGACCATGAAAGAGGTCCATAAGGATGATGGAGCATCACTTTGGGCCATGGCTTCGTGATGGACCATCATGGAGGTCCATAAGGATGATGGAGCATCACTTTGGTCCATGGCTCCGGGATGGAGCATCATGGAGGTCCATAAGGATGATGGAGCATCACTTTGGGCCATGGCTTCCTGATGGACCATCATGGAGGTCCATAAGGATGATGGAGCATCACTTTGGGTCATGGCTTCGTGATGGACCATGAAAGAGGTCCATAAGGATGATGGAGCATCACTTTGGGCCATGGCTTCGTGATGGACCATCATGGAGGTCCATAAGGATGATGGAGCATCACTTTGGTCCATGGCTCCGTGATGGAGCATCATGGAGGTCCATAAGGATGATGGAGCATCACTTTGGGCCATGGCTTCATGATGGACCATCATGGAGGTCCATAAGGATGATGGAGCATCACTTTGGTCCATGGCTCCGGGATGGAGCATCATGGAGGTCCATAAGGATGATGGAGCATCACTTTGGTCCATGGCTTCGTGATGGACCATGAAAGAGGTCCATAAGGATGATGGAGCATCACTTTGGGCCATGGCTTCAGGATGGACCATGAAAGAGGTCCATAAGGATGATGAAGCATCACTTTGGTCCATGGCTTCGTGATGGAGCATCATGGAGATCCATAAGGATGATGGAGCATCACTTTGGTCCATGGCTCCGTGATGGAGCATCATGGAGGTCCATAAGGATGATGGAGCATCACTTTGGTCCATGGCTTCATGATGGAGCATCATGGAGGTCCATAAGGATGATGGAGCATCACTTTGGTCCATGGCTTCGTGATGGAGCATCATGGAGATCCATAAGGATGACGGAGCATCACTTTGGTCCATGGCTTCGTGATGGTCCATCATGGAGGTCCATAATGATGCTGGACCACCATAGAGGTCCCCAATGATGCTGGACCACCATAGAGGTCCCCAATGATGCTGGACCATCATAGAGGTCCATAATGATGCTGGTCCACCATAGAGGTCCCCAATGATGCTGGTCCATGATGGAGGTCCCCAATGATGGTGGACCACCATAGAGGTCCCCAATGATGGTGGACCACCATAGAGGTCCCCAATGATGCTGGACCATCATAGAGGTCCCCAATGATGCTGGTCCATCATAGAGGTCCATAATGATGCTGGTCCACCATAGAGGTCCCCAATGATGCTGGACCACCATAGAGGTCCATAATGATGCTGGACCACCATAGAGGTCCCCAATGATGCTGGACCATCATAGAGGTCCCCAATGATGCTGGTCCATGATGGAGGTCCCCAATGATGCTGTTCCATGATGGAGGTCCCCAATGATGCTGGACCATCATAGAGGTCCCCAATGATGCTGGACCACCATAGAGGTCCCCAATGATGCTGGACCACCATAGAGGTCCCCAATGATGCTGGTCCATGATGGAGGTCCCCAATGATGGTGGACCACCATAGAGGTCCCCAATGATGCTGGACCACCATAGAGGTCCCCAATGATGCTGGTCCATCATAGAGGTCCCCAATGATGCTGGTCCATCATAGAGGTCCATAATGATGCTGGTCCATCATAGAGGTCCATAATGATGCTGGACCATCATAGAGGTCCCCAATGATGCTGGACCATCATAGAGGTCCCCAATGATGCTGGACCATCATAGAGGTCCATAATGATGCCGGACCATCATAGAGGTCCATAATGATGCTGGTCCATCATAGAGGTCCCCAATGATGCTGGACCTTCATAGAGGTCCCCAATGATGCTGGACCATCATAGAGGTCCCCAATGATGCTGGACCACCATAGAGGTCCCCAATGATGCTGGACCACCATAGAGGTCCCCAATGATGCTGGACCACCATAGAGGTGCATAATGATGCTGGTCCATCATAGAGGTCCCCAATGATGCTGGACCACCATAGAGGTCCCCAATGATGCTGGTCCATCATAGAGGTCCCCAATGATGCTGGACCATCATAGAGGTCCCCAATGATGGTGGACCACCATAGAGGTCCATAATGATGCTGGACCATCATAGAGGTCCCCAATGATGCTGGACCACCATAGAGGTCCCCAATGATGGTGGTCCATCATAGAGGTCCATAATGATGGTGGACCACCATAGAGGTCCCCAATGATGCTGGTCCATCATAGAGGTCCCCAATGATGCTGGACCACCATAGAGGTCCATAATGATGCTGGTCCATGATGGAGGTCCCCAATGATGCTGGACCACCATAGAAGTCCCCAATGATGCTGGACCACCATAGAGGTCCCCAATGATGCTGGACCACCATAGAGGTCCCCAATGATGCTGGTCCATCATAGAGGTCCCCAATGATGCTGGTCCATCATAGAGGTCCCCAATGATGCTGGTCCATCATAGAGGTCCCCAATGATGCTGGACCATCATAGAGGTCCCCAATGATGCTGGACCACCATAGAGGTCCATAATGATGCTGGACCATCATAGAGGTCCCCAATGATGGTGGACCACCATAGAGGTCCATAATGATGCTGGTCCATGATGGAGGTCCCCAATGATGGTGGACCACCATAGAGGTCCTCAATGATGCTGGTCCATCACAGAGGTCCCCAATGATGCTGGACCATCATAGAGGTCCCCAATGATGCTGGTCCATGATGGAGGTCCCCAATGATGCTGTTCCATGATGGAGGTCCCCAATGATGCTGGACCATCATAGAGGTCCCCAATGATGCTGGACCACCATAGAGGTCCCCAATGATGCTGGACCACCATAGAGGTCCCCAATGATGCTGGTCCATGATGGAGGTCCCCAATGATGGTGGACCACCATAGAGGTCCCCAATGATGCTGGACCACCATAGAGGTCCCCAATGATGCTGGACCACCATAGAGGTCCCCAATGATGCTGGACCACCGTAGAGGTCCATAATGATGTTGGACCATCATAGAGGTCCATAATGATGCTGGTCCACCATAGAGGTCCATAATGATGGTGGACCACCATAGAGGTCCCCAATGATGCTGGTCCACCATAGAGGTCCTTAATGATGCTGGACCACCATAGAGGTCCATAATGATGCTGGACCACCATAGAGGTCCCCAATGATGCTGGACCACCATAGAGGTCCCCAATGATGCTGGACCACTATAGAGGTCCCCAATGATGCTGGACCATCATAGAGGTCCCCAATGATGCTGGACCATCATAGAGGTCCCCAATGATGCTGGTCCATGATGGAGGTCCCCAATGATGCTGGACCACCATAGAGGTCCCCAATGATGCTGGACCATCATAGAGGTCCCCAATGATGCTGGACCACCATAGAGGTCCATAATGATGCTGGTCCATCATAGAGGTCCCCAATGATGCTGGTCCATCATAGAGGTCCCCAATGATGCTGGTCCATCATAGAGGTCCCCAATGATGCTGGACCACCATAGAGGTCCATAATGATGCTGGACCACCATAGAGGTCCCCAATGATGCTGGTCCATGATGGAGGTCCCCAATGATGGTGGACCACCATAGAGGTCCATAATGATGCTGGACCATCATAGAGGTCCCCAATGATGCTGGTCCATCATAGAGGTCCCCAATGATGCTGGTCCATCATAGAGGTCCCCAATGATGCTGGTCCATCATAGAGGTCCATAATGATGCTGGACCACCATAGAGGTCCCCAATGATGCTGGTCCATCATAGAGGTCCCCAATGATGCTGGTCCATCATAGAGGTCCCCAATGATGCTGGACCACCATAGAGGTCCCCAATGATGCTGGTCCATCATAGAGGTCCCCAATGATGCTGGACCACCATAGAGGTCCCCAATGATGCTGGACCACCATAGAGGTCCCCAATGATGCTGGACCACCATAGAGGTCCCCAATGATGCTGGTCCATCATAGAGGTCCATAATGATGCTGGACCACCATAGAGGTCCCCAATGATGCTGGTCCATCATAGAGGTCCATAATGATGCTGGACCACCATAGAGGTCCCCAATGATGCTGGTCCATGATGGAGGTCCCCAATGATGGTGGACCACCATAGAGGTCCCCAATGATGGTGGACCACCATAGAGGTCCATGATGATGCTGGTCCTTACCAAGCGCTCGTGCGGATGCAGGCTGCAGTAGCTGCTGGCCTGGGGGAGATGGGTTGAGTTTCCCAGCATCCCTCCGTAGCCGGGCTGGTTCATCCCACTGGAAGAGCTCCAAGGATCGCTTCCGTGGTGGCCATCTGGGAAGGAAGAGAAGGGAATGAATCCCGATGGGAATTCCATGGGAAAGCAAGGAGCTCAGTGTGGGGTTCCATAAGGATGCTCATCCATCCATCCATCCATCCATCCATCCATCCATCCATCCATCCCCATCTCTGGTCCTCATCCCACCTCCTCGTGGGCCTTCCCCCATCCCCAAAGTGGGAATTCCCATCGGGAATGCCATGGAAAAGATGGTGATGGGGGGGTGGAATTCCCATTGGATCCAATGTTCCCAAAGCATCCGGATTGGGGAGGGAAAAAGGAAGTATCTCCGTAGGGAACAGATGGATTCCCTATGGAAGCGATGCTCCTTCAAGTGGATCCCAAAGGGAATTCCGGAGGTTGGGAATGGCCATAATCCATTGGGAATTTTTTGGGAAGGGAATCCCGCTTTTTACCTTGCATGAAGAAAGAGCTCGGGAAGGAGCCGGCGCCCGCTTTAGATGATGGAAAACCGGGAGAATCCCGGTTGTAGTCGGCGGTGCTGGCCGATGGGGCATAAACCTAGGGAAAAAAAAGCGGGATTAAGCTTGGAATTCCCAAAAAACAGGGAAAAATCCCAACCCTCCCCCCCCCACTTTGTTTGCTTGGAATTCCTTTCCCAAATCCCATAGGAATCCTGCATGGGAAGGGAAAGAAGCTTCCCAAAGGTCCCAAGAGTCCAAGAGGGGGAATTGGGCATTCCCAAAGCATGGAATTCCCAAAGATGGGAATAAGGATGGATTATTCCCGAAAATAAGGGGGAAAATCCCTGTTTTCCTTAGGATTGGAGGTGATTCCCTGCTCCCTACACCCATGGCAATGTATCCTTGGGATGCATCCATGTTTTCCTATAGCGCATGGAAATCCCTATGGAATTCCATAGAATAATAATAAAGGGATAATAATGGGGTAATAATAGGGGTAATAATAGGGGTAATAATGGGGTAATAATAGGGATAATAATAGGGATAATAATAGGGGTAATAATAGGGATAATAATAGGGGTAATAATAGGGGTAATAATAGGGATAATAATGGGGGTAATAATAGGGATAATAATAGGGGTAATAATAGGGGTAATAATAGGGATAATAATAGGAGTAATAATAGGGGTAATAATAGGGATAATAATGGGGTAATAATAGGGATAATAATGGGGTAATAATAGGGATAATAATAGGGATAATAATAGGGATAATAATAGGAGTAATAATAGGGGTAATAATAGGGATAATAATTGGGGTAATAATAGGGGTAATAATAGGGATAATAATGGGGTAATAATAGGGATAATAATAGGGGTAATAATAGGGATAATAATAGGAGTAATAATAGGGATAATAATAGAGATAATAATGGGGTAATAATAGGGGTAATAACAGGAATAATAATCGGGGTAATAATAGGGATAATAATAGGGTAATAATAGGGATAATAATAGGGATAATAATAGGGATAATAATAGGGGTAATAGAAGCAGGCAGAAGGGACCTGCCATGGCAGTGGGGGGGGGCGTTAATAATAGGAATAGCACTAATAATAGCACTAATAATAGCGCTAATAATAGCACTAATAATCATATTAATAGTACTAATTGCTATTGTTATTCCCATTATCCCTATTGATCCTGGACTGCTTTGGCTTGGGAGGGATCGGCCAGCTGCCATGGGATGGGGGGGTATTAATAGTATTAATAAGGCTAATAATGGGTATTAGAGTGCTAATAGTAATGATAGCAATAATAATAGCAATGATAAGGGGTGATTAGGGTAATAATAATAGCAATAATGCTAATAAAAGTAATAATAATAGCAAGAATAGTGGTAATAATAGTAATAATAATAGCAATAATAGGGGTAATAATGGCATTAATAGCAATAATAATAGCAAGAATAGGGGTAATAATGGTAATAATGATCACTGTAATGCTAATAGTAATAATAGCAATCATAATAGCAATAATAAGTGGTAAGAGTGGTAATAATAGTAATAATAATAGTGGTAATAATGCTAATAATAGTAATAATAATAGCAAGAATAGTGGTAACGATAGTAATAATGATCACTGTAATGCTAATAGTAATAATAGCAATCATAATAGCAATAATAAGTGGTAAGAGTGGTAATAATAGTAATAATAATAGTGCTAATAATGCTAATAATAGTAATAATAATAGCAATAATAGTGGTAATAATGGCAGTAATAGCAATAATAATTGCAACAATAGTGGTAATAATGCTAATAATAGTGGTAATAAAGGCAATAATGATCATTGCCATGCTAATAGTAATAATAATAGCAATAATAAGTGGTAAGAATGGTAATAATGGTAATAATAATAGCAATAATAGTGGTGATAATGGTCATAATGATCATTGTAATGCTAAGAGTAATAATAATAGCACTAATAAGTGGTAACAATGGTAATAATGCGGTAATAATGGTAATAATAGTGGTAATAATGCTAATAATAGTAATAATAGTAGCAATAATAGTGGTAATATTGGTAGTAATAGTGGTAATAATGCTAATAATAGTGGTAATAATGGTAATAATAGTGGTAATAATGCTAATAATGGGCATTGCAATGCTAATAGCAATAACATCAGGAATAATAGGGCTAATAATTGTCGTAATAATAGCAATAATAGGAGTAATAATAGCAACCCCAATCACTGCAATGCTAATAGGACTAATAGGAGAGTGGTAATAATAATGGGAATAATAATGGGAATAATAATAGCAATAACTATCACTGCAATGCTAATAGGAATAATAATAGGAATAATAGGAATAATAATGGGAATAATAATGGGAATAATAGGAATAATAATGGGAATAATAGAAATAATAGGACTAAGAAATAATAATAGGACTAATAATAGGAATAATAGGAATAATAATGGGAATAATAGAATAATAGGACCCAAAATCCCCATAAATTCACCCAAATCCCAACTAAAACCACCGAAAATTGAGGTAAATTCATTAAAATGGAATAAAACCAAATAAAATGACCTAAAATTGAAGTAAATTCACCCAAAATGGACCTAAATACGCCTAAATCTAAATAAAAAGCAAGAAACACCTAAAATTGACTTAAATTCACCTAAAATTGACTTAAATTCACCTAAAATTGACTTAAATTCACCCAAAATCGACCTAAATTCACCCAAAATTGACTTAAATTCACCCAAAATGGACCTAAATTCACCCAAAATGGACCTAAATTCACCCAAAATTGACTTAAATTCACCTAAAATTGACTTAAATTCACCCAAAACCGACCTAAATTCACCGAAAATTGACTTAAATTCACCCAAAATCGACATAAATTCACCAAAAATTGACTTAAATTCACCCCAAATCGACCTAAATTCACCCAAAATTGACTTAAATTCACCAAAAATCGACCTAAATTCACCCAAAATTGACTTAAATTCACCCAAAATCGACCTAAATTCACCTAAAATTGACCTAAATTCACCCAAAATTAAATTCACCTAAAATCGACCTAAATTCACCCAAAATTGACTTAAATTCACCCAAAATCGACCTAAATTCACAAAAAATTGACTTAAATTCACCCAAAATCGACCTAAATTCACCCAAAATTGACTTAAATTCACCCAAAATCGACCTAAATTCACCAAAAATTGACTTAAATTCACCCAAAATCGCCCTAAATTCACCTAAAATTGAGGAAAACCAAATAAAACCACCTAAAATTGAACTAATTTCACCCAAAATCCAGTCGAGCCCAATGAAATGACCCAAAATAGAAAGAATTTCACCCAAAATCCCCCCAAATCCAAAGAAAATTCAGGTAAATTCACTAAAATGCAATAAAATCCAATAAAAACGCTTAAAATCCAAGGAATTCCACCTAAATTCCAAAGAAATCGGCCAAAATTCCAAAGAAATCCGAAGAAAACACCTAAAATTGAATTAAATTCACTTAAAATTGAATTAAAGCAGATCGAATCCACTAAAACCACTGAAAATCCAAGGAATTTCACCTAAAATCCAAGGAATTTCACCTAAAATCCAAGGAATTTCACCTAAAATCCAAAGGAATTCACCTGAAACAAGTAATCCCACCTAAATTTCAAGTAATTTCCCCTGAATTCTGAATTCCACCCAAAATTCCAAATAATTTTACAGAAACTCCTAAAAATTTCACCAAAATTCCAAAGAATTTCATCTAAATTCCAAATAATTCCACCCAAATTCTGAATATTTTCACCAAAATTCCAAATAATTTCACCTGAATTTCAAATAATTACCTAAATTCCATATAATTTCATCAAAATTCCAAAGTTTCACCTGAATTCCAAATAATTCCACCTAAATTGCAAATAATTTCACCTAAATTCCCAATTTTACCTAAATTCCATATTTCACCAAAATTCCCAATAATTTAACCTAAATTCCCAATAATTCCACCGAAATTCCATCTAATTTCACCGAAATTCCAAAGTTTCACCTGAATTCCAAAATTTCACCTGAATTTCCAATAATTCCACCTAAATTTCCAATAATTTTACCTAAATTCCATATTTCACCTAAATTCCCAATCATTTCACTTAAATTCCCAATAATTTTACCTAAATTCCCAATAATTCCACCTAAATTCCAAATTTCACCAAAATTCCAAATAAATTCACTTAAATTCCCAATAATTTTACCTAAATTCCATATTTCACCTAAATTCCCACTAATTCCACCTAAATTCCAAATAATTCCACCCAAATTCCAAATAATTCCACCAAAATTCCCAATAATTCCACCTAAATTCCCAATAATTTCACTTGAATTCCCAATAATTCCACCTAAATTCCATATTTCACCTAAATTCCATATAATTTCTCTTAAATTCCCGATAATTTTACCTAAATTGCAAATAATTCCGCCTAAATTCCAAATAAATTCACCTAAATTCCCAATAATTCCACCTAAATTCCATATTTCACCTAAATTCCAAATAATTTCACCAAAATTCCAAATAATTCCACCTAAATTCCAAATAATTTCACCTAAATTCCATATTTCACCTAAATTCCCAATCATTCCACCCAAATTCCAAATAATTCCACCTAAATTCCCAATAATTTCACCTAAATTCCCAATCAATTCACAAAAATTCCCAATAATTTCACCTAAATTCCAAATAATTCCACCTAAATTCCCAATAATTCCACCTAAATTCCATATTTCACCTAAATTCCCAATAATTTCACCAAAATTCCCAATAATTTCACCTAAATTCCATATAATTTCACCGGAATTCCACATAATTCCACCGAAATACACCTATATAGCCCTATATACACCTATATAGCCCTATATACATCTATATAGCCCTATATAGCCCTATATACACCTATATAACCCTATATAGCCCTATATGTACTTATATAGCCCTATAGAGACCTATATACACCTATATAGCCCTATATACACCTATATAGCCCTATATAACCCTATATGTACCTATATAGCCCTATATGCACCTATATAGCCCTATATCTACATATATAACCCTATATCTACATATATAACCCTATACATGCATATATAACCCTATACATGCATATATAGCCCTATATACATATCTAGCCCTATATAACCCTATAAATATACACTTCTAATACAGCCCTATATACCACCTCTATGGCACCCTATAGAGACCCTATAGATACAGCCCTATATACCACCTCTATGGCACCCTATAGAGACCCTATAGATACAGCCCTATATACCACCTCTATGGCACCCTATAGAGACCCCATAGATACAGCCCTATATACCACCTCTATGGCACCCTATATACACCCCATA